CGTGTTTTTATTGATTCTGCTTCTCCTGCCTGGTTTCTGGGGCCGCCAGCTCCCGTGCAGAGGAGCGTACACGTTAGTTTGAGGGTTCTGCTTTCTCATTCTCTTCGTGCAGCTGCTCCTCACGATTTTGTATCTGACTTCGCCAGCTTCTGTCCTGTCTCTTTATGGCTTCACCCCACAGCATGAGTCATCCCAGAGCAGGGCTTGTTTGCATACGCTGCCTTTCCTATCCCTTCAGCTGTAATGCTCTCCTCTAACCTGGCTGATGTTAAATCCCAGCAGCTTGCTTCAAGCAGGGTTTGGAAATGGTGTGCCCCTGCGGCATGACTATCGTATTCTGAGTCCTCTTCAGTTTCTAATCAGAACATATCCTTCTTTTTCACACCATTTTCTCAGTCAGGAGGTGGGATTTTACCTCCCTGCTCCTCTATCTGCCTTCTGCATGGTGCCCAGGGTACTTCAGAAGGCATTAACATGCAGGTCTTGACCTTCAGCTCCCTAGAAGTTGCCTCCAGCTGCTCTTTCCCGCCCTCCTTGTTTCACAGACCTCAAACCTGGGATCCTCCCCAGCATGTCCAGACATCCCATGGAGTCTGTGATGTTAACAGGAAGGACATTAGTCACCATGAAGTTTACAGAATCACAGAATCTTCTAGGTTGGAAGGGACCTTAAAGATCATCTTGTCCAACTGTCAACCTAACTTTCACAAAAATAGACATCCGCACAACAAACGAAAAGCAACACCATCACGAAACCATATCTCCCAGCGCTACATCAACCTGTCTTTTGAACACCTCCAGGGATGGTGCCTCAACCACCTCCCTGGGCAGCCCATTCCAATGGCTGAGAACCCTTTCGGTGACAAAATTTTTCCTAATATTCAGCCTGAACCTCCCCTGGAGTAACTTGAGGCCATTTCCTCTTTATTGTGTGTCACAGACCTGGTCACCTCTGCGCTGGATAACCAGATTGGCTGCTCTGGAATTGGCCTTGTCTGGTGGCATTTCCCCCTTCTCAAGCTGTATTCTTTCCTGCCATGAGACTTGCCCCCCTCTTCAGCGTCACCGAGACTGAAGCCAGAGGGGGGATGGCCCTATGCAGTGGGACTTCAGCTGTTCTCTCCTGACGCTGCAGTTGGACCTCCACCTTCAGCAGATCTGCTCTCTGCTTCAGGGGTTGGCCATAACTGCTGACTCAGCATCCTAGACCCCTGCAGGAGTTCGCTTTCTTCAGTTGTCACATTGTCTTTGCTTCTGCAGACTCGCATGCTCATTTCACTTTCACAACTCTCTGCAAAGCTACAAGCCACGTGCACATCTTGTCCTTATGGCACACGTTTTAGGGTTAGACTTCCCAGACTCGTAGACACAAAGAGCAGTCACACAGCGCTGCAGAACGAAGTCACCCTGGGGGACTCCAGTGCCTCTAATCAAGTGGCTCGTCTGCAAGATGAAGCTGGTGCTAAATGAGCTGAGGAGTGACTTTGCAGCGCAGGAGCCGGTTTGCCCCTGGTGTGGATGCTCTTCCTCGGGAGCGGCGCGGGGCTCCGGACCCCCTGGCTGTGTGGGGAGCCCAGGGCACTGCCGGTCGTGTTCTCATCCCCGGGGTTCTGCACAGACAAACCCCCCCGTGCTCTTTGGCCACTGGTGAGTTGGAAATGGCTACGGGTATTTCAGTGAGTGAAGCAGGGTCAGAGCACAGCCTGAGTGGCACTGCCCAGCTGGAGCTGCTCCTCTCCGGCTGCCTTCATCCCCTGGGCACCAGCTTGGCCTCTGGCACGTCCCCGGGGGAAGAGGGGACTGTTCAGTCCCGTGTTTGCTGAGCTGAGTAAGGAATAGCCTCACCACCCCGTGTCCTGCAGGGGACCTGTTCACGGTCATCCCTCTCAGATGCTTCTTTCAGTGCCTTTGGTAGGTCTCAGCTGGTCAGGGGCAGTGGTGGAAACCTCGGTGTTGTCTTCTGCACAGCCACTGCCGCTCTGAGCACTCAGATGAGGGACAGCCCAGTGGGTCCATTTCCAGAGCCTTTGGGTCCCATTTCTACCTGCTGCGGCCGGCTCTGTCTGCAGCCTTGTCTTTGGATCACTTTGCCAGAAGCTGGGACGTGGCTCCTGATCCTGAGAATGTTTGGAGTGCTGGGTGACCGTGGTGGCCGGGGCTGGGGCCTGGTCCCGTGTGAAGGTGGCCTCACTGCCGTGGTGGGCTCTGGATGTCTCCCGCCTGGTCCCACCACATCTGCAAGAACTGTGTCACTGCCTGGATCCTGGATCAGACTTTGTGGTGGCAAAACATCTCTGGTGGCAGTGGTGGGGACAACAGTCCCCTCCCCGGGTGCCCGTCTGCTCGTGGTGGCACAACATGCCGCTCTGCCCAGGCGCGTGACTCACCACCCTCCCTTTCTGAGAGATACAGATGCGGAGTAAATGGGAATCAATTACGCTTCCTACACAAAGAATCCCCTTGATTTGGCATCTGACACAGACACATCCTTCCTTCCCAGGGAACAAAATTGAAAATTAATTTGCGTTCCAGGGAAATTTCAATTATGAATGTCTTCCTCGGCGGCGACTCTCCTTGGCCACGTTGCACATGTGAGAGACCCCGCAGCACTGGCACCGAGCGTCTGCGCTGCCGGAGGGTCCCTTCCCGAGCAGACCCCCGGGGCTGGGCTGTGCCCGGGGGGACGGTCCCTGCAGATGGAGCTGCTGCTGCTGCTTCCCCTCTCCGTGGTGGGGACGGACCCCCTTCCCCCCTGCGGTGGAATCGAGGGCTGGGTCGAGCAGCAGCCCCAGGAGCGTGGTGTCCCCTCGCACCAGTCCCAAACGTTACGTACCACAAGGGTCTGTGTGTGCACGTCTGGGAATGAAGCAGACGGGTGATTTAACTGCCGAGTACCGAGGGGCTGTGCCTTGAGGGGCTGGGATGGATATTCCGTGCTACCTTCACCCTGTCCTTCAGGCAGAGGCAATGACTGGGGACTGAGAGAGGTCCATGAGTGATCTCCAGGACATGGGTGACGGACCTGGCTCCCTGTGGTCTGGGACACGGTGTTGGGCAAAATGCCTGAACTCCTGATCCGGGGCTCAAACAGCAAGCTGTGTTCATGTCCAGCATCTCCTCTATGCTGTTCCTTATTTTGCCTTATCCAAACAATAATATTGGAAAATAAAACACGAAAAAGGAAAAAAAAATATTTCCATATATCAAGCAGGGCCATAGTTGTTTCCAGGTCTCTCTCATCCTTCTGGAGATGCAAACTGGCAGCTTCCAGACACAGACGTGGTCTCAGTGGAGCTGGTGTGCTCATGGTGCCTCCTCGTAACCTCTGCTGTCTTGGGCTGCATCTCCAGCAGACCCAGCCCTCCTCGCTGGAGGGGCAGCATGTGGTGGAGAAACATCCACAACACCATGAGTTCAGGTAAAAAATTCTTCAGGACTGAGTGTCTTACAATGTCATGGAAAACATCAGTATTCCCAAAGTGCCAGTCCTTTGAGAAGAAATCTCTTCCTTTGTGCCACGTGGGTCAGCAGTTGTCTTTGATCAGTCTTGGGCGATGACATTTTCGGTGAAAGAGCAGTTGCTGACAGAAGGTGTGGGTCTGAGTGACACGTGAACCTTGGGGAGATGGCTGCAGCCACCCTGCATGTCCCCTGGAGGTTGTGTCCCAGGCTGGAGCTGGTTTCCATGTCTCACAACCAGGACGGTTTGGCCCCAGTGCTCTTGGTCAAGTGCTTTATGTCCAAGTTTTGAAGCTGGTCTTTCCTGAGCGGAGCCGGTGTCTGAGGAGGGAGGTTGCTGTCAGGGGCTGTGGCATTTCTGGGACGTGCTTGGCCGGGCTTTGCTCAGCTTGGGACCTCTGCTGTCCTCTCTGGGGCCACAGCCCCCCTCACAGCCCTGGGTGCTCCCTCCAGCACCTCCTGCTCTCCCGGTGCTGCAGCAGACCCGGCTCTTCTCTCCCCCTACGAGGAGGGGAAAAGAAGGGCTCCGGCCCAGCCAGGGGACAAGGCTCTGTGCCCTGCCAGCACGGGGGGAATTCCCTGCAGAGCGGCTGCCTTCTGTGGGTCTGAGGGGTGTCCTGTGCCCTCCTGCACCAAGGGCTGCTTCTGGGGTTTGGGTCAGGTGGTGGAGCAGTTGCTGTGTGACCTTCCACACTGCCTTTCCTTCCCTGGGAGGGGAGTTCTGAGCTGCATGTTGGCAGGGTGGGATACTCTTCTGTGCAAGTCCACGTTCTTTGGCTTTATTTTAATCCTTTAACAGTTCCAAGTGGTTCCAGTAACTTCTGGACTCAACTGTGGCTGTCTCCCAGCCACTGCTCCGGTGATGAAGGGACTGTGTGGGCAGAATGAGTGAATATCATTTGGTCAAATTATTTAAATAAGAGTTGGAAAGTAACTTAGGACTGCCGAGACAGTCGCCGGGACAGAGAATGAGCGCTGGAGCCCACGGGGTGTGAGAGAGTGGGGTCTGTTAGGAAACTCTGGATCTCCAGCAGCAAGGACAAAGAGGGTAATGATCTATGGGCGTTAGTCCAGGCCAGCCATGGCATCTGCCTAACAGAGCTCAGAGTGACGACCGTCGTGTTTGGAATAGAAATACTGGTGTCTTTGTGCTGGCTCTTGAAACAAACCCGCCAGAGTGGGATATTTAGCTTGGAAGAGGCAGTTTCAGGATCATTGTTCCTGGTTTCTCAGAGGTGTGGGGGGCCACGTGTCTCTGGCTGAAGGGTGTGCAAGGCGGGTGCCTTGGGTTGAAGAATCTGGTAGATGCACAAAAGAAAACCAAAAAGTGGGCCAAGAAGGCTGTTCTTGGGTGAGTTGGCCAAGAGGTGCCAGCATTTTCCAAAGGGGGAAGAGCTAATGTAATTCAAGGAGTTAGCTGCAGGCTTCTGATTAATAAAATAATAAAATGGTAATGAGTTAAGCAAATAAAGCTTAAAGACCAATGTTTCGCACTACAGTGCCAAAGTCTCAACTCATTCTCCTTGTGGTTCTTGCTGCAGATGCCTGTACCGTCTAAACGGTTCTCCCAAGGTCATTTTAGTGAAGGCAGAAGGTGTCAAGCTGTGGGTTGCGCAGTCAGAAGGTTGTGCTGGAGTCACCAGATCTACCTCAGCCTTTGTCACGGTGCCCTGTGGAGCTGTCGGGGCACCTGGGGAGGACCTTATGGAGGAAGTCCTTCTAGACCTCCAGGTCTGCTCAGTGTCTGGCCATGTACAGGGAGGCGGGATGTGAACATTTGTTTATGAGGAATGGAATGAGTACCCCCAAACCAGTTGCACGCAGCAGATGCCGAAGGCCATGTGTAGGGCACTGGGTTTTGACTGAGACACACAAAAGGACTTAGCAACCAAAGTGTTAAAGGTTTTGCAGTCACAGGCTTTGCAAATGATTTCCGCCTTTATCAAGTAGCTCCTGCCTTCTGCATGGGGTGGGTTCCTCCACCTCTGGGAGCTGCAAAGACACAGACCTTCTGAGATTGGAAGGTTCATGGTGCCTAAAGCAGGGAGGGACCAATTAACCATCTCCTTTCACTCCTGGGTAGCACTGACCATGAGATACTGCTGAAATTACTCTTCTTTTTCCTTTTTTTTTTCATAGAGCAGAATTTCTGAAATAGCTTGTCATGATCAGCAGCAGCTTGTGAGGGTCTGCCTGAACCTTTGCCTCCATACTCAGGGGGGTGTGGGGTTTGGAGATCTTCTTGCAGCTCCTTTCCGTTACTGTCTACCATGAACTTGTCGTGCGCCTTCAGCACATTGAGGCTCTCTCTTGTGAAGAGCACCTGCCAAAGAGTGAGGTGCATGTTAATTGGCAGCGGTTGCCTGTTCCTGCACTTGCTGGGCTTGTCAGACAGGTTGTCCAAATTCCTAAGGACTGTGATCTTGTGGGATAGGCAGGATTAGAGGCATAATTCCAGAAATCCCGTTATCCTCTTTGTCAACTGATAAAACTATATTTTGTCTTTTCAGTAGGACTCTAAGATCTGATGGAGCTGCCCAATGATATAAAACACTCTCAGCTGTCAGGGTGGAGAGGCACAAATCCAGCTACCGCTGGGGATGTTCCACTGGCGGGGATGCAGCAGAGTGCTTTAAGGAGTGAATCAATATCTGTGATTATATAAAGGGAGACAAAACCTTTTAATTAATTGTCTCTCTCGGGTTTCCAGTTCCGCTCCATCTTCTCCAGACGCATTTGTAAGGCTGCAGCCACAGCCAGGGAGGCGTTTGTGCTTGAGGGGAGGCAGCTCAACACCCCGACAGCTCATTGCGGTGAAGCCCAGGGAGGAGGATGCCAGCAGGATCTCTGCTGCCTCCCGCTTTGGCCGGCTTTCATGGCCGTTGCCAGCGTGTCCTTGGCTGCAGACTCTCACACCAGGCTTCTGAAGCACCTGGTGGGTCAGGGCTGCCAGCGCTGCTCGGGCCGACGCTCCTCTTCACAGGGTTTTCGTGTTGGGCTGCTGGCCGTGGGGCTGACATGGTCCCACACGGCGTTTCCCTCGGGGAGGATCCCAGTGAGCTCCTGCTGCTCCCAGTGATGCCAGGATCTGACCCAGGGCTTTGCGGCTCCTGTCTTACATCGTTGCTCAGGCCCTTGTGCTAATTAGCTGAGCGCTGGTCTGGCGGCTGTCAGAGGAGGAGCAGGGAGGGCGAGTGAGTCCCGTTCTCCTGTTGCCTTCCTTTTCCCGAACAGTGGGAATCTGCCACTAATTGGCTCTCGTTAGCAGGTAACTGTGCTATTCTCATGTAGCTGTGCAGAGGGGATCTGAGACCAGAAGTTTCTCAGCAGACGGAGCAGCAAGCTAAATGAGCCATGCTCTAGGAACTGGAAGGAGGAAAACCCTTTTGTGAGAGAGCACTAGCGGTGGGTCCCAGAATATCAGCCCTGGTCTGCCTCGTTACCCAGCTCCAGGGGTGGGGGAGAAGGGGGTCCCTGCTCTGCCTCGTGGCTGGGGGAGCCCCAGTGGTCAGGCGTAAAGCTCTCAGCGTCAGAAACTGCCTCCTGAATTTTGGGCAGAACCTGTGTCTTTTGGTCGTTATATCTGTCCAACCCAGGCAATACCCTCAACAGAGTGTCCCTGAAGATCTCTCCCATTCCTGAATTCAGGATTGCTCCCTAAGTAGCTGATGGACAGCCAGGGGAAATTCCCGTTGACCCCGCATGTATGCTGAGGGGCACCCAGCTGGAAAGCAGCTTTGCAGAGAAGGTCTTGGGGGTCCTTCCAGGTGACACCAAGTTGAACATGAGCCAGCAACGTGCCTTTGCCACAAAGAAGGTGAGTGGTCTCCTGGGCTGCATTAGGCAAAGCGTCTGCAGCAGGTTGAGGGGGGAGATCCTTGCCCTCTGCTCAGCACTGGTGAGGCCACATGGGGAGTGCTGGGTCTGGTGCTGGGCTCCCCAGGACAAGAGAGAGATGGACATACAGGAGAGAGAGAGCCCTGTGAAGGACCAGGAAGATGATAAAGGGACTGGAGCATCTCTTCTGTGAGGAAAGGCCAAGGGAGCTGATGGTTCAGTCTGGAGAAGACTCAGGGGGTCTCATCAATGTGTATAAACACTTGCAGGGAGGGTGCCAGGAGGATGGAGCCAGGCTCTCCTCAGTGATGACACAACCAGAGGCAAACTGAAATGCAGGAGGTTCCCTCTGAACATCAGGAAACACTTTTCCACAGTGACATTGACAGAGCACGGGCACAAGTTGCCCAGAAAGATTGTGGAGTCTCCATCCTTGGGGATGGTCAAAAGTCAGCTGGCTGGAGGTGTCCCTGCTTGAGCAGGGGGTGGGATGGGGTGATCTCCAGAGGTCCCTGCCAGCCTCAACCCTTCTGTTTGATTCTGAGAATCTGGGAAAGTTTTGGAAGCGACAGAGCTGCTGTTTTCTTGCTGGAGCTGGAATCGTTTCCACCAAACTCAGTCTGTTTCCGTATCTGTCAGCCAGGCTTGGAGTAACAGTCTGAAACTCCGGATCAGCAACAGCGTTTCTTCCAAGGGACACGCAGTAGGTGCCACAATCGAGAAGCAGTGTTTGGTTGTCAGTCACATTCTGTCTGACGATGCCGTGTCAGAAGGACCGGGTGGACTTTCTGGTGCTGCTTGTGTGATGGCAAAACGTCTCTTGCCAAACCACCAAAGAGCATGACTCAAGGGAGACCGTGGCCACTCTTGCTGGGGGACAAAGCTGAGGGACCTGTGGCAGGGTGTGTGTCCTGAGCTTCTCCCTACCACGTGATGGGTGCTGGTGCCTCCAGGAAGGTTCCTTCAGAGAAATCCTCTCCAGGTGCTCCGTGGGTGCGGTGTGTGTGTGAGAGACAAATCTTCTCAGAGCAAGGGGGACACTTCACAAACCCTTTCTTCCACAGCCGAAGGGAAAGGCAGCTCCAGCACCAGAGACAAACCAGCTGGGGAAAAAAAAAAGAAAGGCATAAAAGCCTCCTTTTGGGATTGGAGCCTTGTGGACAGGAACAATTTAACAGCCGTACAGTTAGGAGGAAAGGCTAACAGGTTAACTGCAAAGCTGCCAAATACATTTCATTCCTGAGGGGATCAGTTTATAGCACATTTTGAAACAGCAGGAAGTTCCTCCATGCAAAAACCTTTCTGTAGCCTAAAGCAACAAAAAATCTGATATTCAAAGGGGGAAAATGCCCGATATGTAAAAGATATTTTCATGATAATGTGTGAAACACCTTAGTGTGTTCACCGGAGACAGGCAGGAGTGTGGCCAGGCAAACCCTGGGTGATTCCCACAGCTCCAGCACAGCCCCGTGGGCTGGGATCAGCCATGGCCCCTGGTCCAGCTCCTGCTGCAGCCACAAACACCTCAGCTCCCCCAAAACCGGCCCCCAACACCTCGCGCTGCGGGTGCGCCGCTGGGACAGTGGAGGAGAAGGAGGAGGAGGAGAAGGAGGAGGAGGAGGAAGAGAAGGAGGGTTGCTTAAACCTACATGGAGAATCCTTCAGCTAGAACTCAACTGACAGAAAGTGATTCTCTTCTGATCAGCCCCTTGAGGGCGCGGGGAAATTCAAGGAGCCGCGCGGGGTGTTTGGGGCGGCTCGATGTGTCTGAGGTAATTGTGGGAGCTGTTACGGTCTGTTCGTTCACTTGTGGTGGTTTGAACGCACGTCCAGCGTGGGGAAGGGACCTCTGGCTTCCCTCAGGAAGGACGGTGGCTTCTTGAGCCCAGAGTCCACTCTTGTGAGGAAGCTCCTCCGTAGCAGGACCCAACACTGCTTCTGATGGAGGTGCTGTCAGATGGTCAGGTCTTTTTCACCGTGTCCAGGTGCTGTCGAGTCTGGATGCTCCCGGGGGCTAAAATACCTGTAAGAAGCATGAGACATGGAGTTGAGTCCATCTCAAATAGTTATTTTCACCAGGGAGAGCAGGCGTGAGGCCTCAGAAATGTCATCCAAAGGTGTGCCATCAGGTTTGCACTGCACTGTTTCTGGAGCACTTATTTATCTGTGGGACACCCAAACCCAAGCAGCCCCCCCGCAGGACCTGACCGGAGGAACACCACACATGGGCAAAGCCTCCAAAGAAACCCCACGTCAGCTTGGTGGCTCCTAGAGCAGTTGCTGGTTGCAGAGGCAGCACGTGAGATGGGAGGACACGTCCTCCCTCTGCTGCGGAGGCTCATTGGACCAGAGGGTCCCTCTCCCCGGTGTCCTTTGGTTGCACGATGCCCACCGCTGGGCTCATTCACCCGGCGTCCCTCTCCCGTCCCTGTGATGGATCCGAGGTGCAGCTGGGAGGGATAAACAGATAACCAGATAAACGGCTGCTGCAAAGAGAAGACCCGTGATCCCCAGGGGCAGGGTCTCCATGCAGCAGAGGAAGGGGCTGCCCCTCTTCCACAGTGACTGCGTTTTATTTGGGCTGCCCCCCCCGCGCCCCATGGGGAGCCCTCTCCTCTGGTGCTGGGGGCCCCGCGTGTCTCAGGGAGGAGGAGGAGGAGGAGGAGGAGGATGTGGGCATCGCTCAGCAAAATCACGATTATCCACTGGAGACGTGAGGAAGCTCCTCGGCTGCTGAATAAACACGGCCGAGTGTGTTTTATTCATAACATCCCCGCCGCCCCGGCTGCTGCTCGGAAACAAGCCCCGGGTCCAGCCACCCTGGCTGCAGCCCAATTCAGCCGAGCAGAGCACGAAACCCGCTCCTCCGGGCCCCCGGGTGCTGCGTGGCTGGGCTGGTAAAGGGGGTGAGGAAACACCTTGTCAGCGTGTGTGGAAACATGCCAGGAGACGCTCCGCTCCCGACGGGTGGAGAACAGAAAACCCCTTCCCCGCAGCTTTTCCCACGTTTTCTGCTTGGGAACACAGGTAGAAATGTTCCCCGAGCAGAGCCCGAACCTGGAGCAGCTGCATGACTGACACGGGTCTCTATCAAGCGGGCATTAACATGAAATATGATTAAGCTAATTAGCATCCTTTAATTGAAATAGAGCTTGCCCAAAGAGGGCAAACAGAAATGGTGCTATTCTTTGAAATGATTACAAAACTTGTTATAAATGTACCTCTGACATAATGGATGGAGGCTTTGGAGACATTTTGACTTAATAACTCCTTAACGATTAAAAAATGAGTGCGCTACGGAATCGATATGGCAGATCGGCCCTGGGTTGCAACCACGTAATTAACGCTTCCCCGGCGGTGCTGCTCTAGAGGAGCTGTGGGACGTGGGGCTGTTGTCATCTTCCCGTCACCCCTGCAAGGACCGGCCCTTGGTCCGGCGGCGGCACCTTCAAACGGCATGTGGAAAGCCACGGGTGCCAGGCTGCTGCTGAGAAAACACCCTGGACACGGTGCATTGAGCTGCGGGAGGGTGATAGCATCGGGGGGGGAGCTGTGGCTTCCTCGGTGGCCTTGGTGGCCCAGCGAGGGGGGGTGGGCTGTTAGTGGGTACCCTGGAGAAGCCAAGTGGCTGGAGTGGGGTCCCCGCTGCTGACAGTCTGTGTGCACCCAGCGGTGCTGGGGGGGGGTCACAGCCCCGTGCTGCAGCGTTCCCCCCCTGCATCGCCCGCCCTGCAGGTGCCGGGGGCTGCGTAGCCCCCCGGGCATGGCGTGCAGCGGGGTGGGGGGCTGCGGCGTTGGGGGGGTGCGCTGCCCCAGGCAGATATTTCAGTGCAGCTCCCCCCTTCCCCACGAGCTCCTCGTGACTGCGGCTGGAAACACTCCGGGGCCTTGCAGCCACCCCAGCCGGGCTTTAATGTCTCTGCGCTGACTAAAAATGATTCTGGAGTGACATTTACAAGTATTATAAGGAAAGGGTAGCTATTTATTTCTTATTAAGTGTTTTTTCCCTTGAGGGACTGTAACTTAGCGCGGCGCTGGCGCGGCAGGGCTGAGGCGGGCAGGCCTTGCGCCCCTTCCATCCCCCTGTGGCAGGGCCTGCTCTGCCGCCTGCCTTTCGGGCACCCCGGGGGTGGGGGGTGGGACAGGGGGTTCGGGCACCCCGGGAGGGGCCAGACACAAAGCCCTGCTCCTTCCCCCGGGGCGCTGGGTCACCCTTGGAGCGCTGCGCCCCGATGGTGAGGGTGCTCCTGGGGGAGCAGAGACTGTCCCAGGCCGAGGGACGCCACCCCCTCTCCTGGCTGCCCCCACTTTCCGAGGAGCGGTGTCCTTTGGGGTACGGCCGTTTCTGGGGTGACGGACGGGGCAGCTTCTCCTGCCGCGGCGGCTGCTCCCCACCGGCACCAGGCAGGGAGGGGCTGCGGGAGGGGACCCCCTGCCCCGCCATGCCCCCGTCCCTCCGGGGGGCAGCAGGAGGGTGGCTGGGGGCAGCCCCATGGGGGCTGTGGATGCGCTGCCCCACAGACCCGGGTGCCGTGGGGGCTGCGCGGGGCAGGGGGGGGGGATGTCCGCACCCAGCAGGGGCTGTGGATTCAGAGCGTGGGGCCTGCGGAGCGCGGGTGCTTCGAGCATAGTGCTGGTAGCTGCACAGTGCATGGT